AAATACACACACATGCATGTATATTTTTAAGAAAAATATGTTATGTTTATATATTAAATATATTTATATATAATATAAAATATAAGAATATAAATACATAAATGTATATGCATGCAAATATTTTCAAAATATATACTGTATGTGTGTGTATTTATATATGCATAACAAATATACACAGTACACATACATGTATTACGTAAACAAAAACTTTTATTTTGGATGCGATTAATCGCGATTAATCGTTTGACAGCACTAGTTTCTATATTATATTTTTCCATAAAAGTTTTTTTTATTGTTTGTTACATGAATTGTGTTGGTTTCAAAATTGCATTACAGGTGGAAAAATATCTGCCACGGTTTACATTTTTTATTTCTCCAAAACCTGTTATTTTTATAGCCACTATATGCACATAGTTTGTGGTGTCATTTGCATGTTTATAGTTTAATATAGTACAGTTTGAACACGTTTTAGCATTTGTGTTTTTCTGTTGACTTACCAGAAATGTCATTTCACCTTCTTTAACTTGTTGTTCTCCAGTTAATTAGTTTTGATGCATTTAATTTGATTGATACTCTTTCACTGTCAAATGCTGAAAGTTTGATGTTATAATGTAAAATTGACCACAGATGGATTATTTTAATCTGTAACTCCAGAACAACTTCTGATTGAGTAAGGTGTGTTAGGGTTACATGAGCTCATTACATAAGTCTCTCCTGAACCATGACCTGAAGTAGGTCATCCAGCTGTAATGATTGACAGCTGCGTGTTGGAGTTATTTTAGGACGTGAAGCGAGAGGATCGGTTTCCGAGTCTGTTTGGGGGTCAAGTGGTCCAATGACGCGAACGAAGACCCGACGCTGCCAAACGTCCCACTTGAGCCGACAGCTCGTTGGCTTGGTTTTGAAATGCGATCTATCTGAGAGCACAGATAAATCCTGTGAATGAATGGAGTGTGAATGGAAAACATCTCTCCTCGCCTAGAATTATCAGTGTGACACACAGGCCTGAGCTGACTTCCCACAGTCCCATTCATCTGATAGTGTGTGTCTGAGAGGCTTTTACTTGAAGAGATGTATGTGTGTGTGTCCATTTGCATTCGTCTCAATCCATGCTGATTGGTCTAAACAAGCAGTGTTATTTTAGCATACTGTTAGAGTTTTAGTTAATATTTTATTTTGTAAATTTGTAATTTTGTTGTGTGTTTTTGTCATTTTTATTAGATTTTGTTTTTAAAAATATATATATTTTAGGGATGTGCATCTCCATAACTGAGGCCGATGCGATATGCATTTAAATGCACAGCCAACGATACGATACATGAAGGATACATATGAAGCAGCTACCGATGTGATGTGAAATGATTCACCCCTGTTACGATGCAGTGCGATTCGATTTCGATTCGATTCAACACCATGCAATTCAATGCGATAGAAAAAAATAAGCTATGCAATTCAATATGGTACAGATAGTTGGCTTTTATTTCTTTGGTTCAGATAGACAGCCATGTTCATCTATATTCTATGTGACTCTCAGGACTCGCCTCGGTCTCTGTAGTGTTGTGATACGTCACGGTATCGGTGATGAGAGAACGTGCTTGAGAAACAGCTTATAGAGAGGAGAAATCAATCTACATATAAAACATTGATCACAAATTATAGATCACTTTCTAAATAATAAAAGTATAGCACATCTACTAATAATTATACATAAATAAATCAGTTTTTACCGATGCAGATATGTTAGAAACAATGCATTGTGATACAAATGGCAACTTGTATCCGATGCACACTTGTTTAAATCGATGTATCCCATCGTTAACTTTTATCCTGATGCACCGATGCGAATTAGTGAAGCTTTCCATCCCTAATCTATATAGTTTATTTTTATTTATTAATTTTAATTTTAGTTTATTTAGTTTTGCACTAGTTATTTTTGTAATTCAAGTTAAACTTAACAAAAATAAGAATATATATACAAGTATGTATATATATATATATATATATATATTCAAACCTCTGTTGATGGGACTAAATCCATGGGTGTTGATGGGTGTTATTATATATTATAATTTTAGTTAATATTTAGTTCATATTTTTTTTCTGGTTTCACTTTAATTTTAGTTAAAGTTTTAGTAATTTTGTTTTTATTTTAATTTTTTTATATATAGTTTATTTTATTTTATTTGTTTTAGTTATTTTAGTACTTTTAGTACTTAAGCTTAATGAAAATTATTGTTTTTTTTTCCAGATTTTCTTTTCTTTCAAGTAACTAAAATCTTCTATAATAAGCCTGCTCAAAACATCTTCACATACCATCAAAATCATATTTTCTTTTTTGTTTTGCAGTCAAACTGGCAAGATCCGGATGCTGGTGTTTCCAGTGATGTACCTTAATGAGGTAAATTTTTAGAAAATCATCATCTGTATTTTTCTACAAGGCTTTTATAGCATGTCAAGTTTGTCTACGTGTCAGAACATGTGTTCCTGTCCAGTTCAAATAGATAAACTCAAATAGTTGCAATGTCAAGGTCATGGGCTCACTTCCCAGAAAAATGACTGAAAAACGTCACTTTCACTTTTTTTCACTCTCACATAAAGCCACAAATATCATATAGCAAACCTCAACTGCTGGATTGTTTATATATCGTCACAAAATTCAACTCTGTTATCATCCAGATCTAACTTGCTAAAGGCAACTGTAAGGCATGAAGATAATAAGATATTATAAACATGAATATCATGATTTTCTGTGAAGCTGCAGTCCCGACGGGTCAAGCGCTTCTGTCTTGACTTTTTCATCACATGTGTATTGTTGCTTTGTTGAGATGCAAAATCAGGTGAAAAGTGCAACAGATAAAGCGTCCAAACACGATGCAAAATGTATATTAACCTTTGAACGACACAAGGCATGAAAGAGTAAATGAAGCAGAGAGAGATGTGGTTGCATCAGCTTGACTCATGTTTAAAAATAAAGAGATAAACCAGTCTCAGCATTAGAGGATTAGATGATTTTTTTTTTTCTGGATAAAAGTGCACTAAATGAAAAAGATCATAGTTCTGTCGAATGAGATCTTAACTCTAAAGCAGTTATTTTGAGTTCACATTATCAGACAGAACAACAAAGCGCCTGAGCAGGAAATATGAAAGTGTTTTTCTTCATTTCTGTCTCTTCTTATCTTCTAAACGCTTCCATCCTGTTTTCCAGAGCGTCCTTATTGACGAGGAATCTGCCAAGAAGCTGTATGCGGTTGTTACCGAGGCTAATGTGATCGTCAACATCCCCTTCATAGTGATCAGTGTAGGCATCTTACTGGGCGTCATCTTCATCGTGTTCATGTGCCGACAGCAGATGCCACCGGTGAGGATCTCGCATCACTTCCTTCACTAAAACTATTAAAAAACATTTTTGTTAATTGAAATAAAGCTGCAATAACATAAAAACATGTATAAAAAGGAAAAGAAAAATTAAAATAAAAAATGTAATAAAATAAAATAAAATGAAATTATAAATGAAATTTAATTAATGTTTTTCTTCTCTGCATTTCTCCACTTCGCTAGCTTGTCTCATAAACCTGGAATCAAATTTTAAATGTATTGTTGACTCTTTGATGAATTGCTTTTGTTCCTCTTTTGCAAGTCGCTTTAGGTAAACGTGTCTACCTTAAACTAAATGAAAATTTGAAGTACTAAAATGACTAACTTCAACTAAAATAAAATTAAACTAAAACTGAAAAATAAATGTAAAAATGATTATAAAGTGACAAAAGCAAGTACAAAACATACTAAAAATTTAAATTTAAATTTAAAAATATTAAAAATAAAAGCTCATTTAAAAAAAAAATAATAATTCTTCTCTGCATTTCTCATTAACTTTAGCTTGCTTTCTAATCTAGTTGTCTAATAAACATAAAAGTGCCTTCTAAATACATAAATGTATATGTAAATTTAAATATTTAAATATTTAAATATTAATAAAAAAAATTGAAATATTAGAAAAAATATTAGGTGCCACGCTGTCTTTGCAGGTGGTTTTCACTTTTGCTATATTTTCTTTGATGCAAACCACGATTTTGATTTAAGGTAGAGGTAGAGTTGAGTGTCATCAGCATAGCAGTGATATGAAAAGCCATGTTTCTGAATGACAGAACCTAGTGATGCCATGTAGACAGAGAAGAGAAGTGGTCCAAGAACTGAGCCCTGAGGCACCCCAGTAGTTAGATGTTGTGACTTGGACACCTCACCTCTCCAAGATATCTTGAAGGACCGATCTGAGAGATAAGACTCAAACCACTGGAGTGTGGTTCCTGACATACATATATAATAATATATATAGTAAAAATATGAAAATAAAAGCTACTTCAAAATATTAAATAAAAACTATAATACTATACAAATAATACTAAAATAGCGCTGGTCACTAGTGCACTAGTTTTTAGATTCGAATGCTACATAATCAGCCCTAATTCATCATACATGTAAAATTTTTTATGTGAAATGCACAGGAAACACAAGTCACGTTTGATTCTAATAGAATTTATGTTGGCATTGAAATAAGTTAACTGAGTGATACTATAATAAGCATAAAAACACAAGAGCACAAATAAATATTGCCTAAAATTGTCCAGTTATAATTTTTTTTTTTTTCCAATACAACACATTCTGTGATTGCAATTCTCCACAAAGGCCACATGCAGTGCTGCCTGTAAATTCATTTGCTGTATTTTAATGTCTTTTTCAAACTGTTTTTTTTTTCTCTCAGAGCACCGAGGCCGAGCGTCAGCCCCTGCTTTCATCGTAAACTCCCCAGACGTCATGATGAACCAGCATGCATTTAGACATTGAGCTTGATTTCTTTTTCACACGGCCAGAGTCGGTTCAAGGAGCATCGGTGCATGCGGCAGACGACTCAAAGTGCAAAGTTTGTCTCAGGTCACCTGGCCTCGGATCCGGATCTTTCAAACGTGTTTTTAATGCATTTAATGCTTCAGATGATTGATTGAGTATCGCAGAACCAAATAGCGCAGGCGTGTCCAAATCAGAAAAAGAGTTTCATGTCCTAAACTGAATTATATATCAGAAAACACTAATAGAGACAGCAGACGTGATGCAACACGTTACACATCAGTGCTTGAGATATTGATGTCACCTGTACACATCACAACGATATTAATACACGTATGCAATTGCAATGAGCTCATCTGACAAATAAACTGACAGCGGTGCCAACTCATGCTGATTTCAGGACTAATGTAAGTTTTAGTCTGCTTCACGTGAATCTGAAAGTCAATAATGTGCCACACGCATTTTAAAATCACTAAATCCTTTTTTAATGGTTTTGGTGCCATGATGTATTTACGCTTGTTTTCTCCTCTGCCATATAAGTGATTTTCTTAGATGCAAACCAAGATTTTGATGGTACATTGGCTCAAAAATGTTTTTAGAGTCAGCTAATAACACTTTTACAATATTTCTGAAAGAAATGGACCATAATCACTAATTTAAACTCTGTTTGCAACTCTACAATTTCTTGAATAACCAGACACAACCTTGTTTTCAGTGTTCAGTAAATGCAGTATCAAGTGTTTCATCAGTATTACCACAGCATTGAGAAGATTCATTTTCTTGAACGTTTCAGTTTCCTGAATATATTTAATGTTCATTTTCATGCACTGATCGGTTAGTTTTTATTTTTGTTTATGTTTAATAAACCTCATGTCCTGCATGGTTCATTTCATGTTTTATTCTTGCAGGTGTTTGGTGGCAGTTCATGGCTGGTTTGGTGTTTTTTTAGGTCTGAAAAGGGAAGATTTGAGGGTTGCTAATTTTGTTTCAGTGAAGTTCAGAATATCACTACAGTGCGTGATGCCTGTGGGTTTGATCTGAAACTGTGGTGTGATTTCAGTTTCACTTCAGCTTGACCGCAAATGTATTTTTCCCAGGATGGAAATCTTAATTAAATCTCATGATTATGATGACTGTGAAATGATAATGTGAACTGTGTTTATGAATTAAGACCCAGTGTTGATGTTAGCTGACTGTTTTAGGTTTAAAAAAGGAATGTTCATGATTGATTCCATTTTTAAATTCATTTTTTTATGCATTTATTTCATCATGTGAGCATTTTTAGTTTTTGTTTTCCTTCAAAAAATACTGCACTATCAATGTAACAAAAATAACGAGACAAACAATAAAATAAAATAAAAAAGCATGTTGCACCATCTCACTTTACGTGTCTGATATTTACAAAATAAATACGTCCTGATTCTTCTGGAAGCTGCAGCTGATAATGAAATAGATTTGCTACAGATTCTTTTGCCATGTGTGTTTGTATTTTATCAGATCAAACATCTCGGCCTCATTGAATCTGAATCAGAAACTATAGATGCAAAGTTAATATTTTACACGTTATCAAGATCTGTACAACTATAAAACATCGATGATGAAACTGGAGTTCTTGTAGACGTGTTCCTGAGAGGTTTCTGAGGTGAATGTGTCAAGAACACGCCGGGTCATATTTCCGCCCAAAATCAAATAAATTAAAACAGTTCTGATTTTGGAGGTTAATATGACCTGGACAATTCTTGGTGAGATTCACCTGAATACAGTCTTGAGATTGATGTAGATTTGAAAGTCTTCTGCCGTCTTTAGATGTTCTGTCAGATTGATGTAGGTCATGATGTTTGAGAAATCAAAGGGATGCACAATTTTAGCCATTTTGTTTTCCATCATTTGATTTGGTGCCCTCATCATTCATCCTCAGTCAGGCCTGTTGAGCTTTATTGAAGGAGCACGTGTGTTTCCTGAAAGAGAGGAAAAGTAGGTTATTTTAAGAATATGCCACTCATAAAAAAAAATAGGAAATATAAAATGTGTGAAAACATTTCCCGCTTGTGCTGGAGTGTAGCATAATTGCTGTGGAATTGCTGATTCACGAATAGCGGTCAATGTTTTCTGTGATAAACTCTTATCTGTTTACAGCTTAAGGTTCAGGTTTCTGTGTGAAAGTATTTTTGTGATTAGAGTTGTCAATATGCAATCATATAGAGATATTTTGCGATAAATTCGCATTTCTTAGCACGTCGCAATGTAGATCTTTTATGTGTTTTTCAAAACGTTATTTCGCGGTAAATGCGTGTTTCTCAGGGAGCCAAAATCCCTTGTGAGGCCAAAAATAAAGCGAATCGCGTATTTGAATCATCAAATATTCTGCTGAATCGCACGCGTATCGAATCACAATGTGTAGACCGTTTTTGTCGATGCTAACATACAGCGATATTTCGCGATAAATTCATTTCTCAGAGCCCTAAAAAATCATTTGTGAGGCGACCTACACTCACAAAATGAACCGATCGCGTGTTCGAATCAGTTTCAAATATGATTCGGTTCTGATCGAACCCCTCGAGTAGTGAGTCGCATTTCTAGGCATTATTTTACGGTAAATTCGTGTTTCCCGGAGCGCCGAAATGAAGCGAATCCTGTATTTAAATAATCAAATGCAATCCAGCTTTGAATCGCACACGTATTGAATTACAATGTAGATGGTTTTTATGTCGATTAATCGATACAGTCATATAGCGATATTTCACGATAAATTTGCGTTACTTAGAGCGACAAAAAATCCCCTGTGAGGCGCTGTACAAACTTGAGAAAACTAAGCGAATCGCGTGTTTCAATTGAATAACTTTCAAATAGGCCTACGATTTGGTTTTGAATCGTTTTATGTCTTCCTGCTAAATATTACCCCCATTTTAAAAAATAAACATATTTTATCACAGTGACGTATTTATCAGCTTGGTTTGAATGTATATTCATATTTCATATGTCTCCGACATCTTCAAGTGGCATCATTCATTTATTGGAGGGAAAGCATCTGAATGCTATATTTGTAAGTATCAGTTGATTTGATGAATGCTGTCATGTTTTGTGGTGTTACTTGGTTTGTGGCCTTAATCCTGTTTGGTCAAATTACACAAGTAATTTTTTTTAAATATGAGCATTTAAAATGATGGCTAGAAATATATGAAAATGAACTTAAAGTTGACATCCTCATGTCACAAACCGTCAATCTATCATAACGAATTTAACTCTTAAAAATCCCGCTCGTTTTCTTTTCATGTCTGCTAAACCTTTTCATAGAAATATTCTACAACAAGCATTTGGTTACACTTTACAATAAGCTCTCATTTCTTAACTTTATAGTTTATACTAACATGGACTAATGAGCAGTATAGGCCTGTAACCTTTAGTTAAGAAAAAATACATTTAATATGTAGTATAAATGTATATACTTAAAAAAAAAAAATATATATATATATATATATATATATATATATAAACTAATTTAGTTAATAAAATACAATTGTTAATGTTAGTTCACAGTGTGTTAACTAATGCTAACAAACTGAAATGTATTAGTAAATATTAAAATTAGCCTAACTTTAAGATTAATCATCTAAATACTGTAGAAGTATATTCATTGTCAGTTCTTCTTGACTATCGTTAATAAATTAACAAAGTATCACTGCCCGGTCTGTTGCATTCAATTGTTTTTTGATTTAATATTGCCAGAAAAATGAGAAAATGGCATCTTTTTCTTTTTTTTAAGTAAATGAAGAGAAAAAATTTTACTTAATTTTTTATGGTTAATTATATAAGCTGTTTGATTGATGCTAGAAAATGTTTAAGCTGTTTATCCATTTCCTGCCCCTGAAAGTAAAAATGAATTTTGAAGTTTTCCATTTTCAAAAAAATTTAAGAATGCAGTGTACAAGGACCCTGCATATTCATTTTTTTTTTTTTTTTTTTACTTTTGATTTAGATTTACTTTTGGCGTTTTTGCCTTTAATTTGATAGGACAGTGTAGAGAGGACATGAAGTGAAGTGGGAGAGGGAGATAGGATTGGGAAAGGTCCCCAAGCTGGGATTCGAACTCGGGACGTCCAAAGCGCAGCGGCAGGACTGAGGTGTTTGGTGCTGTTCTTCACCTGCAGTAGTTGGTTCCGCACTCATAATGATCTCTGCATCCAGAACCCACGGGTTTCAGAGTGTTCCATCGCCATAGTAACGAGCGCTTGGCCCGATGGATCAGTCCGGTCGCCCAGTCAGTGTCTATGGGTGCCGTCTGGACCTACAGACAGACAGAGAGACAGCGTGTGTTAGACTCAAATGTTCAGCTTGTAATGTTTTTTTCTCGCATTTCTGAGTTTATATCTCATCTTTTTTTTTTTTTTTTTCAAAATTCTTAGTTCATGTCTCAGAGTTACATTTTTTTCCGCCATTGAATAAATAATTTAGGTAATTGCATTACTTTTTATCTCACAATTATGAATTTTTTTATTGCAATTGCAAGTTTACATCTCACAATTCAGACATTTCTTCTCATAGTATCTTGCAATTCTGACTTTTTTCTCAAAATTGAGAGAGAAAAAAAAACTGAATTGTGAGATGAAAAAAAAAAATCGCAATTACTTTTTAGTTTTTTTATTCCATGGCAGAAATGGCCTTCCATACTGAGATGATATGCAAATGTTTAATAAGTAATCTTCACTGTAATTTGGAAAGGAAATTATGTCCCAAATTTGCAAATTTAGACTCTCAAGCCGCTAAATTTAGAAAGCTGTCAAGGTCGGTCAAACCCCAAACATTTGCTCTGGGAGTGACATTGTGCATCTCCAGACAATGATTTACAGAAGCGTTACAGTATGTGCAAACAAAAGCAGCGGGCAGAATAAAACAAGCGCTTCAGTCCGCCACGCAGCATCGCCTTACAATCGCAGGAAAATGATGAGATGAGAGCTGTGTTATTCCAGCTGGAGGAAGCACATTACCAGATGATCCTGTTTTACAAACAAGTGACATGCAGCTGACTCCGGATCAGCTGATAGTGTGTTTTATGACTGACACTGATATCACTGATATGCAGAATCTTTTGTCTTTTTTATTGTCTTATTTGTGGTATATGGGAGTAAACCCATAGGGCAGCAAAAAAAATATTTTCAAAAATATTATTAAATGTATTTGCTAAAGTATGTTTCAGAATTTATTTACATAAAAAATATTTTTACCAATATATTTTTGGCCATTTTATTTAATATTTCTGAAAATATATTTTTGAAATATAATAATATTTAAAAAGCATTTAAAATATATATATTTTGTCTCATATTATATTTCAATTTAAGAAAATACATGTACATACAGTATGTCACATTTTAACATGATTTAATTTAATCAGATAAAGAAGCTTAAAATCATATATATATATATATATATATATATATATACACACACAGTATATATAAAATATTATTATTATTATTAATTTTTGAATAAAAAAAAATTCTTGAAAATTTCATGTTTAATTCAAAGTGTTAATTCAAAATTATTTACTATTATTTTCTAGCATCAATCAAGTTTGATTTAATTAGCATAATATAATTAACGTTTTATTTAACTTTTAATTAGAAACTTTTCAAACAAATCAGTGCAATTCAAAGTGCTTTCCAGGCAAGAAAAAGTGATTGACTCAAACGTTTGGAAATAACAAATGAGATCAAAATAATTTACAACCAACATTTTGTTGCTAAAATATAAAAAAAAGAAAACCGATAATAAATACAACAAAATTGAATATGAATAATTAATTAAAGTTAATAAAAAAAATCATGAAACTTATGTCTTTGTAAGAAAGCAAGACTAAAAAGAGATGTTTTTAATTTAGATTTAAACCTGTATTTTCTGCACGTCCACCGGAAGACTGAGTGAAAATGGTTTCTGCAGCAGTTTTTCCTGTGTGTTAGTGAGCTGTTTCGTCTCTGACGGCGTCAGATCGGTGATTGTGAGGTGATGTACCTGTAAGGCCAGCAGCAGAGACAGCAGAGCGGTCAGGACGAGCAGACGCTGGGTCACTGGCATCATCTTTAGGCTTTAGCTGAACGTCTAGCAGTGAGACAGAGCCGGTGCTGGACGCGCTTTATATGAGGCTGATAAGACTATCAGAGATCAATGATCAGCAGAAATTAGGACGAGTCCACGTCTGCGAGGGTAACGAGACCTTTATCAGACCCCACCGCTCATGAGCTGGAGGACCAGAGTAAAATACACACCAGAGCTTCACCTTAGTCACTCCCATCGTCTTGTGTTCGTGTTTGTCTGCTCAAAGTCCAAGCTGAGGTTCCCACTGATCCGTCCGCATTCACAGGGAAATATAATGCTGGAATAATAGTGCAATAAATGTAAGTTCTCAGAAAGTTATGAACACTTTCTACCAGATACGTTATAGAACATTCGTTCAAAGTTATCTGGTCTTTAATAACCTTCTCAAAACATTATTTATGCATCGATGATGGAATGTCTTCTGAAACATTTTAGTTGGACATTCTTGTTACATTTTTAAATGTTACTACTTGTTACTTTCCAGTGGTTCGGAGAACATTCAAAAGTAACATTCCCCTAATGTTTGCGACATGATAAAATGTAGCATTCTCTTAAAGGGCCAGTTCACTCCAGAATAAAAATTCTGTCATCATTTACTGACTCTTAAGTTTTTCCAAAACTGAATGAATTTCTTTCTTCTGCTGAACATGAAGATATTTTGAAGAAACTGTTACTGATCCCCGTTGACTTTCACTGACTTGACTACTATGGAAGTCAATGGCTACCGTCAGCTCTTTAGTTACCAACATTCTTCAAAATATTTTATTTGTGTTCAACAGAAGAAACTCATACAGGTTTGGAACAACTTGAGGTTGAGTAAATGGTGACTGAATTGTCATTTTTGAGTCAGCTGTCCCTTTAATATTGTCTCTAATGTTCACACAGCCATTACATAAATTTTTTTTTTTTAAAAACTAGATGTTTTAATGTTCAAAAATAGCATTTTCATAACTTCATGGGAACATTAGCAAAGCATGTCAGCTGGGATGTATTGATATTTAGGTTTTGTAAAATAATTAATAATACAGACAATTTATATTTTAATTTTAAGCATTTAAGATCAAAGGTTTTTAAAACATTAGAAATGTAAATTTCCTCAAGTGTGTCTGAACTTTATCATATAATTTTTTAAAATAATATTATCATATATTCCATATTCTCTGTGGAGAGCAGAATTTGAAGAACAGGATGTGAAAAAAAAGTCATTTTCACTTCCTTCCACATCCACTACTGAGCTATAATGAAAGATGAAAACATAAGCACAGCTGTCATATGAATGTGTGAGTTGTTGTTGTTATGGTTTTCTTCACCTGTCCAGCAGAGGGCAGCGTTACTCCAGCTCATCTACTCACTCACTCATTTCAGATGATGATGATCTTTACACACATCCTCTTAATTACATGCACGTTTGCAGAGCTTTGCACTGTAAAAGGAACTGAGTAATTCTGAGCTTGTGCAACTTAATGACTTCTAAATGTCAGCATTTAATTTGCTCAAAATGCTCTTTAGTGAAAACCCTGTTATATTAGTGCTCATGTTCCTTTATTAAATTGACATGTAATTAATCAGTGCTGTCTGTGTAATTTAGATGCTGGAGTGTTGCTGTTGGTCCTGAGAGATGCGTGTTATTATGGGATGTATGGAGGTCATGAGTAACCATGGTAACGGGGTTCCTGATGTTCTGCAGTGGTTTGAGTCTGATAACCTGTGAAGAGTTAAAGGTGTGTGTGTGTGAGTGTGTGTGTGAGTGTGTGTGTGTGTGTGTGTGAGTGTGAGTGTGAGTGTGAGTGAGTGTGTGTGAGTGTGAGTGTGAGTGAGTGTGTGTGAGTGTGAGTGTGAGTGAGTGTGTGTGAGTGTGAGTGTGAGTGAGTGTGTGTGAGTGTGAGTGTGAGTGAGTGTGTGTGAGTGTGAGTGTGAGTGAGTGTGTGTGAGTGTGAGTGTGAGTGAGTGTGTGTGAGTGTGAGTGTGAGTGAGTGTGTGTGAGTGTGAGTGTGAGTGAGTGTGTGTGAGTGTGAGTGTGAGTGAGTGTGTGTGAGTGTGAGTGTGAGTGAGTGTGTGTGAGTGTGAGTGTGAGTGTGAGTGTGAGTGTGTGTGTGTGTGTGTGTGTGTGTGCGCGTGTGTGTGTGTGTGTGTAGACGGGAACCCACATCCTGTGAAAGTCTCAGGGCTGATTCTGATGTTTCCCTGCATGATAAAACAGGTCCATTTATCGATAATTTCAAGTTCAGTGCTGAGATTCATCCAATGTCAGTCAGTCATTCACATTTATTTATGCAGCGCTTTTCATAATACACACTGTTTCAGAGCAGCTTTACAGAAAATCATAATGTTAGTGTTTTATAACGTCTTAATATCTACATGCCTTATTGTTGCATTTATCATATTAGAGCTGGATGATAATACACTTACGTTTTGTAATGACAAACAATCAAGCGGTTTTGCTATCACTTTATGTGAGTGTACTGTATAATATAATGATACAGAGCTTTGCAAAAATACAGTTTGCATTTCTGCAACACAATAAACATTCACACAGATTTATAGTAGTTTTACAATTCGTTATTAATTATTAATTTATTAATTACCCAGCTAACAAAAATGTGTTCTGAGGACATTTTTGCTAACGTTTGCATTAAGTTATGAAAACATTATTTCTGGAAACTTTCTCATTTGTAAAAGTTTCTAAATGTTTTAAAAACAGTTTTCTTGGTTTTATGAACGTTGTAGAAAATATTAAGGGAACATTCCATTTCATAATTTTGCGAACTATATGGGAATGTTATATTTAAATGTTCTTTAAACGTTCTGAAACAAGTAGTAGTAACATTTAAAAAATGTTAGATGAACTAACCTAAATAGTGTATAAATAGTGTTTTATATTAATGTTACTGGATAAATGTTTGTTCATTACTTTGAGAGAACCTTCTGAGAACATTCACCGTTAGCTGGGCATCTGTTCTGTCCAAAAGAATCATTAAAGTGATTCACTGATTCTTCGATCAAGCATCAAAGCATTGTATCTTTACTCTTTTATCATTTTGCAGACATTGTGGGAATGTTATTTTTGAATGTTCGCTGAACGTTCTCAAACGTAGTAACATTTATAAAAACGTTATGAACATCCAGATAAAAGGTTTCAGAAATGTATAAACGTATAAATAACATTTGTTTATAACTTTGCCAGAAATTTCTGAGAATGTTCCCTGTTAGCTGGGTAATTTGATTTATTATTTCGGTATCGATATTGAGAATTATGATGAATATTCTTTGTCAGTGACCAGATTAGTCTGGAGGAGATCAGAAGAAGCGTGAGCTCATGTTTAGCGCTATATGCTATGTTTTTGTTGTTAGACATTCACTACAGCACTGTATATATATATATATACATATATCTTTGTCTTTACATAGCTTGGCGTTCCCATCATTGTTTTTGTGAATGCTGGGAAATGCTTCCCTAAATTAACCCCAGAAGCGCTGGACCCCCTGAAGCCCTACAGCAGTGTGTGTGTGTGTGTGTGTGTGTGTATTGTTGTCTGGGATTGTGGGTATAGAGTCGTTCCTGTCCGTGTCTTGAACACACGGGCCCTTGTTGTTTCATGTATGTGTATGTGCTCATTTAGGCCCCTGAGCGTCCGTTGTTGTTTCAGTCCCGAATGAATCAAAGAGCCGCGTCTCCTTCTGAAAGCAAACACACAATGGAGGATCTGATCCGGCTCTCCTTCAGCATAATGCACTGGAGGCCCCATCCTCCAGCACAGGGGCCTGTCTGCATCCATTGTTATTAACGGGTGATGTTTCTGCTCCTTTGATCGAAACGCTCAAGGAAAACCTTCAGTAAATGAATGCAAGTTCAAATAATATTAATTATATATATTTCCATATATATACATTTTATTGTAATTTGTCATTTCTATATATTTCATTTAATAAATATATTAAATGTAATAAATAATGATTACATAATAATTTAAATAATATCACTTATATAGTTTAATTTAATAATTTATATTTTTAATTATGTAATTTGTCATTTTGTATATGAAAATATAAAAATGATTATTTACTAAATTATATCAAATGTAATAAACAATAATTAAATTATAATTTAATTTAATACGTTTGTCCTGTTTTGGCCACGTGATTAATTAATTCGATTAAATAATTTTATTTATTTATTTATAGGACAATGATGAGACATGCTTGGTTTCTTATCCAGAATTTTTAGAGTCCGTTTGTAAAGTGATTGCAGAGGTTTCAGAGATGTAACACTAGCTTTTAATAAAAAATAACTTTTTTTGTGTATTTATATTTATATTTACTTTATTATTATTATTATTATTACTGCCTTTTATTGGCAAATGTTTTGCTCTTTTGACAGTGTGTTTGTTTTGCTATAGTTCCTGTATTTATTTATTTTTCTTTAATAGACTACTGTTTTTATTGAGGAACACTTGGAATTAGAATTGTGAATATTTTTGAATCATTAAATCATGGTTATTTAATTTAATGCATAAATTCTCAAAGATTCTATTAATGAAAAATGTAAAAACAAACAGCATTGTCATACTTACAGTGGAAATGGAAATACCAGAGCAGATATCTTTGTGCATATGGGTTCCTAAAGTATATTGTGTTGGACAGCAGGGGGCCTTTGAGTCACTGATGCTTTCCATGAAAGAATGAAAACAACCAGTGAACTCAAAGAAATTACTACTTTTATTCATCAAGGATGCATTAAATTGATCAAAAGTGACAGTAAAGACATTTATGTTACAAAAGATTTCTATTTCAAATAAATGCTGTTTTTTTTTTACTTTCTATTCATCTGTGAATCCTGAAAAATAAAATGTATCACAGTTTCCACAAAAATATTGTGGAGCACAACTGTTTTCAACATTGATGATAATCAGAAATGTATCTTGAGCAGCAAATCAGCATATTAGAATGATTTCTGAAGATCATGTGACACTGAAGACTGCAGTAATGATGCTGAAAATACAGCTGCGCATCACAGAAATAAATTACAGTTTAACAGATATTCACATAGAACACAGCTGATTTAAATTAGAATAATATTTCACAATTTTTACTGTATTGTTCATCAAATAAACGCAGCTTTGCTAAGCAGAAGAAACTTCTTTCAG